GTTGATGTGTGTTAAAATCGAACACCGAAAATCTGTCAATATGTGCATTTTTTATGTGCATTTGTTAATATTCATTTCATTTTCCTTTCTTGGCAATATGTGCATTTTTATTCTAAAAAACATTTTCAATATTGGTATAAATTCAAATACTTCTATAAAATTATAAAACTAATAAGAAAAGAACAATCATTGTACTTCAAACTAATAAGTATTCCCAATTTCAAAATTCAACTAAAATTTTTAATTCTTACGTGTTCCTACAATAAATAGACCATTCTCTAATCTTCAATCATATAATAAATAAATCATTCTCTAATCTTCAATTCTATCTTTTAATCATTATAAATTTATAATGAATAAACACTACTTTACTACCTACTAGAAAAAATCAATTAATGATCAAATACAATTACAAAATTTAAAAAAAAAAACACAAAGTCACAACTCACAACTCGCAAAATAATACATTAAGAGAGTATAGAGACTTAGAGTATACCTGAAGAATGGAGGGCCGGAGGTGGAGCAGTGGAGCTGGAGGGAAAAGTGCTGGACTGCCTGGTCGCCTACTAGTCTGGACAGCTGGATCGGTTGAGCCGACGGGCCGACGCAGGGACCTGGACGGCAGGCGGCAGCGCGGCTGGTGGCCTCTTCTGCTCTTCGCGCTGAGCACTTCGTCGTCGCAGTTGGGTTACTTGGGTAGGCAGGACGCAGATCGGGTCATGAGTTGGAGAATGGTACGTAGCATTAGATTTTGGCTGGGCTGTGTTTTAATTTTGGAGTGGGCTGCACATTAGTTTTGAAGTGGCTGGACATTAAACATATTGGTAATTTCACAGCATTCATATTATTATGAGATATTACCCAAAATGGGACTAAAAAAGTTTGAAAATTCCAAAATAAGACTTCCATGTTTTTATTCCCAAAATAGGACTAATTACTGCCATGTTTTGGCAGTACCAGACTTCAAACATGGCAGTATTTTCCTAATTTGACAGTAATTAATCCTATTTTAGGAATAAAAACATGACAGTTCTATTTTGGAATTTTCGAACTTTTTTAGTCTCATTTCGAGAACTTTCCCTATTATTATTCACAGCCACAAATTAATTATTAATTAATAAAAATACATCATTAATAAGTAAGTTTACCCTTCATATTAATCCGCTAAAATAAACATCATAAATTTATTGGTAATTGTGTTTACAACCACCAAATTAAATAATAAAAATCATGTTATTTAACGTATATAATGTGTGCATTAAGCAATAAAGTACAATTTTTCAATACACTCGGGACGTATATGGCATTTAATATCTTCACATGTGGAAGACGAGTGAGGAATCGCCATCTTTTGGAGTATGAATTTGTGGTTATATTCTTGTTGATATGATAGTTATTGTAATAGTTATGGAGTATTATTTGTTTATAGGGCCTATTATATGATAAGGGGTGATACTAAGAAGTGTTGGGAGTCTGTTGAATATAAATTGTTTTAGATAGTCACGTGTGTTATTGGTGTAGTACGATTAGAGCCACGTCCGTGTGGACTAAAGTTTCATTATTTAAAAAATTTGGTTATGCATTAGAGCCTCACTCAAATTGATATGTTAATTTAAATATTCATATCAGATGAATAGAACACCTTCATAACATTAAAAGTGTTGTTTGAGAGCCAGATAAATAAGCTAGATTGTGTATTAAGGCAATTCTTTTACTCATGAATGTAACTTTAATATAAGACCTTTGATCATGAAAATTGAGATTATTTTTCATTTCTGAATGTGATAGGTGTAGTTTAAAAACAGATATCATTGTCAGGGATGTTATTTAAATAAATCTCCTAAGTTTTACGATTCATGATATGAACGAACCATAAGCAGTAATTCCATTGAAAGAGCAACCCACAACTATAAACGAATTATTTTTACAATAGTTGTCTAGATTTATTTCCTAAACTTTTAGAATGCATTTAAGAACATGGGAGGTGCTATTTTAGTAAATTTTCACACATGCAATCTTGCTATTTTAGTTTTATCCACTTTCATTTTATGATGTTTCACTCTTTTCACACTTTTAGGGCTGATTTTGAAGTTATTAAAAAAATTAAAAAATTATATTGAAATGATTTGAGGGGTGCTTAAAACATTTTAATTCTCATATATTCCACTTTCACTTTCATTTAGTACTTGTAGTTATTAGATTAAATTAAATAATTTTTAAAGGGTTATTTTTTCCTTGTCATACTACTATGTTGTTCTCCTATTTCACCTTCTACATGAATACAAAGTACTAATTATTTTCATTCATTCTACTTACTACAACCTTTTCTTTTTATCGAGTACTTTTTTTGGTTTTCTTTCCACTTTAGTTTCAAGTTTCTCATTTCATTTGCACATTCTTATATGAAAGTTAAATTGGAATCTTCACGCCCTTACTGAAATGGATTATGTCAACTTTTGAGGGTTCGCCATTGATTTATTTGAGGTATAATAAGGCTGTATTATTACTATTTGATTTCGTTTGTGGTGAGTATCGGTATATATATTGTTGATCTAATTCAAATATTAAATTTTGTTAGTAGTTCTACTTGTTATGGATTTTCAATTTTGTTCCGCATAAAACTTCCAGGTTCCATATTTTCATTGCAACGGTACGTAAATGAAAAAATTATAGAAATTGCCCTAAATATGAGTAAAAAAACGTTTTGAAATTCTAAAATAGGAGTATCATGTTTTTTATTCCCTGAATATGAGTAATCTTCCAAATTTGGGAAAAAATGCCATGTTTAAAGCCTTGTAATGCCAAGCTTGGCAGAAATTTACTCCTATTTAGAGAATAAAAAACATGATACTACTATTTTGAAATTTCAAAACGTGTTTACTCCTATTTGGGGAATTCTCTCAAAAAAATACTTTAAATGCAATAGTTCGGGTTACAAGTTTATTGTGTTAACACAAGTCAATTATATCTTCAAGAGAGATTAAGATATATTAGGATGTGATATTATCTAACAATTATACAATGTGTGCACGTTGCATTGCATCAAATATTTATGTTGCAATGCATATTCGGGATTCCATGTTTGGGAGTAAGTAATATTTGTTTCAATTTTTTAGATATTTGATATGAAGGATGCATGAGGAAAGTTCATGTCCGGAATTCCGGACAGGAACCTCCGTCCGGACGGTGGCGTTTGGCCGCCTTTCCGGTAGAATTTTTTGATGAAAATTTTATGGCATGTTCTTCATTAAGTCTAGTTTATCCACACAAAAATTCAGCTAAAAATTCAATAGGGAAGACCATCAAATGATTTTTGGAAGATAATTGTGTTTTATATGTATATATTGGGCGCAGTTATCTTCTAAAAATCATTTCACGACCTACCCGATTGAGTTTTTAGCTGAATTGTTTTGTGGATAAACTAGACTTGATGAAGAACATGCCATAAAAATTTTATTAAAAAATGCCTCTGGGAAGCCCCCCAAAAGCTGCCGTCCGAACGCCAATTCCGGTCAGGAATTCACCGGAAGAGTACTCAAGGATGCATATATTTAATGTTCTTGAGAAGAAGTTCCTGCCTACGGTTGTTGTGTTCCTCTTGTCTCTCTGTCACTAATCAAGAGTATTAACTGTGACATTCTGATTTTCTTTTTCAAAATTTTTATCTATAGTTCATCAAATTTTTAAAGTTTTCTAATATAAAAACCCTGCTATTACAGGTCAAAAACCGAATAAATTGCAAAATTAACCAATTCTTTAAAATATATATACTTACACAATACTCCGTATTTTTTAGTGCAAGAGCTAAAGTATTTGACTTATATTCTATCTAGAATAGCAGAGTCCTACACTCCTACACTTACGGCATGTTTGAATGGAGTGTTGGAAGGTGTTAGTAACGAAAATGTTACCAAGTGTTCACATGTGTCAGGAAGGGAAAGTAAGTGTAAGTGTTAAACATAATCTTAATTAACATATTGGGGAGAGTTAAAAAATGGAGTCTTAGTAATGGAAGTGTTTTCACTTAAAAATTCCTATCATTAGGGATGGACAGGGACCGATGGGACTTGCCCGGTACCCACCCCGGACCGCCACTGTACGTTACCGACCCGATCCGGTTAATCGGGACTGGGACCAAGCCCTTGGGCCCGAACCGGGGGTTTAGGAGCGGGTTACGGGTTGCAGCCCTCTTGGAACCGGCCTGGACAGTCCGGGCCCAAAATGTTTTTATTTTATTTTTTTTGAATGGATTGGGTGGTAGGACGGGTTGAGCTGGGTGGCTTGGGGGTGTTTGGGGTGGAGGGTGGGGATAGGAATAAATAAGAAAAACAAAATTCAAAAGAAAAATAGAAGACCCGGCCCGGTCCTGGCCCGGTCCCAGAACTTACCCGGACACGTACCGGGCCTCCAACTCCAAAACCCAGTCCCGCCCAAGGCCCGACCCGACCCAGGACCGTCCATCTCTAACTACCCTCACCGCCACTCTTCTCATGGAGTCATGGGAACCTTTGGCGGGAACATAACCTCCCAACATCACAGAATATCACAGAATATGCGATTCAATATCCTCTCATAAAGGTCTAATCTAAAACTCATCTTCGAACTCTTAATTGTTGCGAAAATGTCTGACATCCCCTCTCAGCTCTACCGCCAAATACTTCTTTTCCTGCCAGCCGATTCCCTTTTCCGCTTCAGAAGTGTGTGCAAGGAATGGTGTCACCTCATTGACGATCCATCTTTCGTCAAAGCCCACACACAAAATCAAATCTCCTCAAGCACTCTTCTCATCAAAAAAGGCTCTGGTTCACCACCTTTTTATCTGATTAACTTTGACTCACTAGAATTCACGGATGACTTGAAAGATGACGGCCAGATGATTGAAGTAATTCCTGTGAAGCAATTGGTTCGTCTTGACGTGCCTCGCATACGGGGTCTTCCTGTGAACTCCTGCAATGGTTTAATTCTTATTTCTACTTATGACCGTAACAAGATTTGGGCGATTTGGAACCCGTTAACTCGAGACTGCCATCAGTTGCCCCTGCCCGATTGCTCTACGTTTTCTTTTGCGGCTGCAGGTATAGGCTACGATCATGTTTCTGATGACTACAAAGTTGTTAGGCTAGACACAATTTCCCGTGGTGGAAAATATGTTTGTAGAACTCTTCTTTACAGTTTAAAGTTGGGTTCTTGGAAGAGAATTAAGGATTGTCCTGATAATTTTTTTGGTCTTAATCGTGTTAATGGGGTTTGTGTGAATGGGAAATTGCACTGGTATGCATGTGAAATGATTATCACTTTAGATCTTGTTACCGAAGAATACGGTCATATCCCTATACCTCCCGTATCATCCTCCAAAGAGATAATTGATATGTATTTGGATGCTATTAGTGGGTTATTAATTTTGAGTTACACTTATTTCACAAGCTCGGGATGTCACTTTGATGGATGGGTGTTGCAAGAATATGGAGTAGAAAACCCTTGGGAGAAATTGCTCTCGTTTCACCTTCCCTGTTTTGAGTCACCCAAACTTGTGGCTTACATGAAGAACAAAAAGAAGGTTATTCTGCAGCGTGACGATGGTTTTTTTTGGGTCGATATTGAGAGCAATTCAGTGAAGCAGGTCGCATTTGATGACCTCATGGTCATTTCTTCTCAAGTTTGTCCTGGAAGCCTCTACCGCCTCGATGACCGTGGCAATACCAGTAAACCTGTCTCAACTTTAACAGGAGGTGTGAAGAGAAAGAGAAAACAAATCAAAAAGAGGACTATTACAAGGTCAGAACTATTACTCATTAGTCTTCATTTTTATGATGGCATGTGAAGCTGAAAACTTATGTTTTTGCTGTTTTTGTTTATACCTAAATGTTTCAATGATAGGGAAATCTTTAAATTGCACTATAGACTCATTATGTTATGTTGCTAACTTGGAAATTTGAAACATTATACGGAGAACTATTGAATTTTCTAGCAATTATTGAGGAGAATCTTTGTTTAGTAATTGCTAACGTTATACTTTATTTGACTCATAAATAATGTTATGTTGCATAGGACAAGTTTTCATTTATTAAAATTGTGTTTGCTGGGACATGAAATGTATTCATTTCACACGACTTGGGAATTAGGTTCTTGGACCCTCTCACATCTTCTCACCTCCACTCTGGTTGAACCAATCATTTCCTTAGGGAAGGTTTGATTTGATGATTATGGAGGAAAGGATTTACGTTTGTTGTGCTAGATATTCTCTATTAGTACTACTCAGTTTTCATTCTTTAAGTTTTTACCACTTTCTAAAATAAGAATAATCTGATGGAGTAAATATGACCCTACCCTTCCGCCCTTCCCTCCCTCCAGAACCCCCCCCCCCCCCCACACCAAACAAATACTTGTGATTGGTATGCATTTTCTTAGATCTGTAAAGACTGAAGAGTAGTCGTCTGTTGGGACTTGGGAAGTTATGGTTGACAGATAAAAAGTTAGTTTTACACTAATTACTCATTTTTTATTTGAGTTTGCCTGCCTATTGTGAGTGTGTTCCCCTTTCATGACAACATTTTTGTTTGTTGGAGTATTGGATGTCAATATTTCATGTTAAATCTGGTGGATCTCAACATTGTACAATGTACATGGGACTTTCACCAATCATTTACATGCAATGAATGATGTTTATTGTTTATATTTTCCTATGTGACTTTGAGAAGATGTTATTTCTGAATAGCAGGCTGAAGATCCATATAAGAAAGGGAAGTTACCGGAGTCCAGAACCTAGTTATGATTCTTCACTCGGTTCATACGAGGCTGATGAGTATTGAGTACTCCAGTCCGTCTACGTACCATGCTTATTTTAGATGGAACCTATCAATGACTTTGCAAAAATGAGTCTATTTTTGTTAACTTTGAAAACTTTCAGCATTTAAATTGAAGTGTTTTTGGAAATGCAATATTTTGTATTAATTATTTATTGCTCTTTTAGTTCATGCATGCTACAGCTTGCAGTAACAATTACTCCCATGTCATTTTGAAATCGCAATTTATGAAGTGTACAACGTACATACCTATGAAGAGTGTTATTTAAAGACTAAAATTTAATGGATTTAGAGAATAGTTTTTCTTACATGACAATATTATACCAGCAATAGTGATTCAAGGTTATGGCATTTTAAGTAGAAAAATGTGTTAGTAGCCATAGTAATTTTCATTGCTTCCGCAATTCTAATCGCCATAGCAATTTAAGTAGCCTCACTCCCTCCTAGCTTCGCGCCCCTCAATTCTGCTACTTTTTTTTTCTTCTGTTTTTTTATGTTTGTGTGTTCTATTTGCTTAGTCTCTCTACCCTTTCTTGTACCAGCCCCACAATAATACAAACTGGCATGGAACTTGACAGTCTTGTGTTTTGACAAAGCAAACCTGAATTCTCCCATTTTACAATTATGTTCATCTAAAATGATTGTATTGATTTCAATTCGAATTAGGTATGAGTGTTTGAAAAAGTGTATACATTGTTCACACTAGAAATACCCATGTATATGTAGGGAGGCTATATGCCTAAGTTTTTAGTTTTCTCCATCTTTGTTATCCCAGGGATGTAAAATCTAGCTTACCCTGAAGAACTCTAGCAGCAGAGGGAATATGATAGTATCTTTAATGCCTAATTCATAACCATTGAATTACACTATATTTGAGTAGAAATGAAGAAAATATGAAAGAATATTATATAACCATGTATTATATGAACATCATGTATATGGGGTAGTGTATATGAATTACTACGTATATCTTAAGAATCACTGGTAAAGATTACTTGAATATGAATGACGGTCTTTAAGAAAAATGCAATTTCGAACAAGTTTAGCTAGGTATTGGATTTCTTTGTTCTTTGCCCAATTCACAACTGGTTTGAATGTGTAGCCAGGGTAGGAAATCAATTTGCAATTGCTTTTGTTAAAAAGTTATATGGGTGCTCATTTTAAACACACATGTGCTCATCTTCATCCTTTATATATATACATATATCCTGCAAGCTATGCCACTTTTTAAGAATGTTATTAAGTGAGTTGAAAATATGTTATAAGCCTGGATTCGGAGATATGAAAGTACTTAAAAAATTATACTTCGTATATACTAGCGAGTGGGATAAGCCTTTCATTTTAAGGGAAACAGTCTTGATAAAAGTTCAAATGTGTAAGGACAGCGGCGGGCAACGGTGGCAGGCAGCAGGCGGTAGTCTAGAGGCAGCAATGAGGGTATTTTAATTTAATCACGAATAAAAAGTCATATTTAAAGATGTTTGAACTAATTGGTCTTGTTTTGGGGAAAAAGCTACTACTATGTTTAAGTCCTACTAAGTTAAAATCTATTTACTAGATTTTAAACATAACATTTTTCCAAACTTGACATAAATTACTCATATTTAGAAATAAAAACTAGTGTTTTACCTAGGCGTTACCCCGGACGGATTTTGTGTTAGTTTGAATACTTAGTAAGATATATATTTCATACGGAGTATTATATATTCTGTATAAAATATTCACCATTTTACTTTAGTTAAACATCTATTCGTTGTGGATAGTAAGTTAATTAAGGGAATATATACACCGAGCATCACATTGTTAGGTTTGGGAAACTTCTCTTAGAGATATTTTATGTTGTGATTAATGTTATTTTTAATAGCTTCTTGTTGTATTCAATATAGATTAGAATAGATTAAATGGATAAAGTGCAAAGGGAATATATGGGCCACCTTGAAATTAGGGCCTAATCATCGTAAACTTATCACGGGGCGGGGCGAACCCGCCCCGCCAAGTCACGGGGCGGGTCTGGATCTTGCAGTGCCCGCCCCGACCCGACCCGACCCATTGTCATGCCTACTTTTCATATCAATGAACATTTTTAGAGTTACGAATGCTCATCTGATACTGATCGTATGCTCGTTGTCTAAATGTCATATCAATGCATTTTTTTAAGAGAAAATGGTCAAATAGACCCTCGAACTTACATAAAAAGGTCGAATAAGCCCTTATATATGAGGCTCTGTCCGGCAATCGTCATTTGGGTCAGTTCCTGGTGGAATTTTTTGATGAAATTTTTTGAGCATCTTATTCATTAAATCTAGTTTACTCATACCAAATTTCAGCTAACAATTCAATCAGGAAGGCATTTGAATTCATTTGAATGCCTTCACGATTGAAGTTTTAGCTGAAATTTGGTATTAGTAAACTAGACTTAATGAATAAGATGCTAAAAAAAATTCATCATAAAATTCCACCGGGAACCGCCCCAAATGACGACGGCTGGACAAAGCCTCCTATATAAGGGCTTATTTGACCTTCTTATGTAAGTTCGTGGGCCTATCTTGTTAAGAATTAAACTCACGCACACGAAGAACAATTAAAGAACACACGAAATTTGGTAACCAAATTCGCTATGAATGACTACGTCTGGGGGCGCTATCAAGACAGGAATTTTATTGCTATTTTCGGATTCAAGGGATTATAGACTCGCATATTGACATATAGGAGTGAATTATAGATATAATTTAATAAGTTTTTATAAAAGAAAAAAACAGGAAAAAGAAAAGGGATTAGAAGATATGAAGCAAAGATCGTGTTACTCGTTGTTAGCCTTCTAATCAATATATATATATATATATATATATATATATATATATATATATATATATATATATAAGAGAAACTTTTTAAGAGCATACAAAGCGCCACATAATCCTGTCATGTCATTATATATATTAATTAATTATTTAGTTATTTTTATACCTTTATTTTTATTAGCTAGATTCTATTTTTGATTACATATTGATATGTAAACAAAATCCGTAGAAATCCACATAATTTATTGCGTTCAATATTTATGACTAACAAATAATACTATATATGAAGTACGACTATATTTTTACAAAACGTATCTCCAAATAATGAACTTTGAACTTTCGTTGTGAACATGAGCTATTTACAATTTTTTAAAAAGCACATTCTAAGATTTCTAACCAAATGAATGACGGTTATTTAATTGAAGTTGGAAATTTTTCTTAGCTTTTTTGTCAAACTTAAGAAATAATTTTATTTGTAAACATTATTAGTTTCAAAATTCGTCTTTTTGAACCATGATGGCACACGTGCACATATGTATGGACATATTTTCAAGTCCTACAAAAGACTAAAAACATTCTTCAAACTGAATGGTGGTGCAATACTATCATCCAGGCTCAGGCCATGTACAAAAGAGAAACTTTTTAAGAGAATTTGTAAGAGGGCCTTCATATTCTTGCATAGTATATATATTAATTATTTAGTTATTTTTACACCTTCTATTTTTATTAGCTATATTCTATTTTTGATTACATATTGATATGGAAACAAATTCCGTAGAAATCCACCTTAACAATTTGGTAACTTTTTCAAAACCCATTATCTATTTGATAAGTATTAAATTTTGTAATTGGAACCACAACAATTAATAACAAAATTTTAAGCACGGACTCACGGAGTAACAATCATTTAATTATTACATTCTATTAAAGAGATGAAGTATTCAATTTTTTTTAATGTGAATTCCTACTTTCATTTTAATAGATTTTTTTTAATTAGATTTATTTCAATTCTAGATTAAATCAAATCAAATCAGATCAGATCAAACTTTAATAATAATAATAATAATAAGTAATAATAATAATAATAATAATAATAAACTGTCCTCCAAAGCCCGTGCGAATTGGGCAAATGCTCGTGCACACCGTCAGATATATTACTTAAATTTTGGGCAAATGCTCGTACGTGATATATTACTTAAATTTTGGGCAAATGTGTGGGGTAAGTCACACATTATGTAATCACATATATAATCACATATATAATCACATATTTGAATTTAACTGTCCTCCAAAGCCGGGCTTTGGAGGACACATTTAATAATGTGTGGTTTGTACGAGCTTTTAATGTGATATATTATATAGAATCTTAAATTTGGCTTCATTATACATATACTTTTCTGAATGTGTGGGCCCGTGCGAATTGGGCAAATGCCCGTGCTTTTCTGAATGTGTGGGCCCGTCATATTATTATAATAATGAATGACTTATTTTTCTTTTAAATCACATTACATATGATTCGAAAGAAATCAAATTTTAAATTAGCTAAATTACATACTGTCCGTGCATCGCACGGGCTTGAAAGCTAGTACTCAATAAAACAGGTCAGATGCTCACTAAAAGTACACTATTGCTCATTTAGCGGAAGCCGTGATATTTCGCTTAAATTACAAAAGTGCCACAAAAAAAAATTGGTTTGTTTTTGTTATTGAGTTGTCTTCGGTAAAATACATGGTACAGCCGGCTGTACCGTGCGCACGGTACAGCCGGACTTTATTGGGCTTGCGCTTCTTCAATTTGAACTTTGCACCAGGTTCCTACGCTCCGACATCGCACAAAACTTCACCCCAGACTTCTTCGATTTCACTTTCTTCTTCAATCTGACTTCGCACCAGGCTCACCGTCACCGCCGTTCACCCCCTTCTCCTTCAGTCCCTGCTTGTCGCCGCCTCTCAACACTCACCTCTTCTCCTCCCGCCCAAACGCAGCGGCTCCGACTCCTGCGTAGTTACCTCTCCTCCTGTGTCTTTCTTTCCTCTCTTTCTTTTTCACTTTTTGCCGACATAGTTTTGCTGTTTGAACTTCTGATTTTGGGAAACAAAGCGAGTCTAATTCATTGTTGAGAAATCATTGCTGCTATTGCTCTCAAATGAGTTTTATATCAAACTCAAATGAGTATACGCCTAAAAGAAATGAACTCACACAAATTAATGTTGAACACATTGAAAATGAGTTTTATATGAAACTCAAATTAGTATATGCCTAAA